CATTCCCATTTCATTTGCTGCACTGTGGTGGGCAAGAAGCTAGGAAGTAGTTGAGGGTAGAAATGATATGCTCATGTCTCACATATCCAGGTGGAAGGTTGTACAGCAGCTGCAGGATGTCATGACAGAAAAGACGCTCCCAAAGTCTCCGGGCCCAGACCACGCAGTCTTGCCAGCAGTGTGGCTGCTCCCGAAGACTCATCTTCACTAGTTTCAGCATCTCCAAAGCTTCCATGCCTTCTTTCTCAAGGCAGGTGCGATCCCTGGAGTTAAAAGTATACACTATGGATGGACTAAAGAAAATACCCAGCTGTTTTATTTCTTAAGTATAGGAAAACTGCACCAATTTTGTGGTTAAAATATCCATAGGCCTCTCAAAACAATCAGATCTCTTTGTTTAATTATTCTAAGAACAACTATTGTTTAGTGAGATAAAGTATTTCCTAAATGTCCCGTTCCCTGCTAGTGGAATAAAACATCAACTTGATTCCCAACACTGCTTATTCATGATTCTCTCTCTCTCTCACACACACACACAATATTATTATTATTATTATTATTATTATTATTATTATTATTATTATTATTGTTGTTGTTGTTGTTGTTGTTGTTGTTGTTGTTATTATTATTATTATAACCCCATCTTTGTCAAGATCTAGACTTACACTCACCTCAGAAATGTATTAGTATCTTCTGCTCTTTTTTTGAAAAGTTCCTCAAATTGATTTCGGGCCCACTGCAAAAGAAAAAGGTGGGGTGGGTTTGGGTATCTATTTTGCTCTTGTTAAATGCATTAAGCCTGTTTTGTTATGATCTGCAAGATGCACTCGCAAATAGCAAGTACTGGATAGCAGGCTCCGAGTATCTTGCCTGCCACTATTTTCTGGGCTAACACGTACCACAGATCCCTAAAGTTAGGCATTTACTCCTCTAATCTAGATATAAAGTGCTCTCCAATCAAATGCCCAGACAGAACCTTCCACTATTGGGAGGCGAAGGGGAATCGAATAGGGGCATGAAAAGCCTCAGAATCCTGAAATCTGGAAAAGCCTACTCTTGCTGCCTCTGTTCTGTGAATTGGGAAGAAACAGCTGAAGATTTTCTTGAGGTGAAGAATTTTGGCTTAGCTTATGGGTGAAAACAGCTGAACCCTATCTCCTGTCATCAAACCACTAACAGCCACTCTAGTTCTTGCCCAGCTGCCTGGAAAGAGTAAATGAAGCTAAAGGGCCAGGCAGAAGAAGGGAGCTTTCCCTCTTTCAGGGATGGCTCAACTGGAGAGAAAGGGAGGGGAGCAGAGTTGATGAGGGGCAGAAGAAAGAGTAGCGTGGGCTATGGAAAAACAGTCCTTGTACCTGAATGGTGTGCTCGATGTTGCTGGGGAAATAGCGCAGAGTGCAGAGAGGGAACTCTGTTCTGTCCCCATCCTGAATTTGTCCATGTGTCTTTGTCAGGTGAGGCACAAAGACCAGGGTGTGTCCCTTGGTGCCATGGGTCCCAGAATCGAGCAGAGGTTTGAGGTAGCGCACACATCTTTCACCCACATAGTTTCCTGCAGGGAAAGGAAAAGGGGGAAGCCTAAAGTGTTGCTCACCTCTTTGGGTGATTCTATTTCCATAGCTAACTAACTTCTAGGAGAGAAAGAGGTCAAGAAACACAAGAACAGCCATTTGTGGCTTGCTGAAGTCACTTTCCTTTGAAAGTTTGAGGAAATCAAAGTTGAAAGCAAAAAAAGAGCTGATTGCTTCATGTCTTCCTTCATTCTCTGAAGAAGAGAACTGGAAGAAAACCAAGACAAAATCCAAAGTATATAAAGTATATAAACTTCAGAAATAAACATTCTTTAGTAAGGCCATGTTTTGAATACTCCAAATCATGGTATGAGTGATGGATAAATATTACGCAAATTTAATTGATTAGTTAGATGCCCTCAATTCAGCCTTGATTCCTAATGACTCCATAGACAATGCTCACCAATCTGTCTACAATAGAAACCTATAGTTGTTTGAATAATTTTTTGCAGTAATTGATCCTGTTCATCCACCTTATATATTGTTTTCCCTTCCTCCTTCCAAGTTCAATAGGGATGTGTGTGTGTGTGTGTGTGTGTGTGTGAGAGAGAGAGAGAGAGAGAGAGAGAGACAGACAGACAGACAGACAGACAGACAGACAGACAGAGAGAGAGATTCAGTCCATTATCAACTCCCATCCCATGCCAAAGCATTTGGGTTTCTGCTTGTGAGTCTCAAAGGTGTAGTCAGTTTTTATTTGGTCCACAACTAATTTATTATTTTTTTTCTTGCAGTTCATGGTACCTTTAGTAATAGTTTCCAAATCTATCATTCTAATACTAGCACTGATGATGTTACCTAGTTTGGATAATGAAACGTCTGCAAGAAAACAACGAAGCTCAGAGAGTAACAAGGATCCCTAGTCTATCATTCTATCTTCTTTCTCTCACTCTTTCTGTACATATAACTTTGAAAGCCATACATTCTTAAAGGAAAAAAATGCTGCTTTAATTATTCTGATCTTTGTATCATAGGAATAACCCTTATATTTTATTATCTTGTCAAAATTTACCTTTCCCTTAAAATTAAGAGAACTCATACAAAAATATTATTTAGCAGCGTGAAATATATGCAAGTATATAAATGTATATACATACATGCATTTTTCAAACTAGAATGTTTCAGAGGTACTGGGGTTACTACTTTCAAATTTCCCAGTACAGTACCATCATTGGTGATGGCGGGCAGCATTAGAGAGTTGACATCCCAATTTATCCAGGAGCAATTACGTTGTGGAAGACTGGAACAGTTTACCCATAGAGACTCATTCCCATTATGATTGAAGGACTCACTGGCTTGAAAGCTGTCCAGGGCACTGGCTACACCATCCAAATCCAGGAAGAAGTCATCCCCATAGAAGTGTTCTGTGTCAGGGCCAACCTGATTCTGCTGAGCTATTATATTGATATTGGGATTCATAAGTCTTATGGCATTTGCAGCCACTTCTGACTTCTGCTTCTATAGAAACAAAGGAAACATGATTAGATCTAGGATTAAAATTGGTCATTGACCAAAGTACAAAAATAGAAGTCAAGTAAAAAAAAGACTTTTATATTAAAAATCAAGTTGCTAGTATTCTGACCAGCAGCAAAACTCAAAAGTTTGTAAAGTTAACGCTCTTCTCGCAACTGTTTTCCCGCCATCTTGCTTGCATTACTTACAAATACATCTTGTAGTCGAAATAGGAACTGCCTGTGCAGGTTGGACTTTTCAATGATGTCCATGTCTGTCACAGTGATCTTCCCACCCTCGCCAGCAGCCAAGCCAATCATTGCAAAATTCTTCAAGAGTTCACAGCCAATCGCACCTGCTCCTACCTAAAGATGTTGTTCATAATAAGACTGTTTGAGACCCCATGACATTTTGGAACTATATCAGAAACTGGAGATAGCTTCTCAAATTATATATGGTTGGTTCTGATCCACACCTGTCCTGTACACCTTTTCTCCATCTGCATACTATTAGCCTAACTCTCATGCAATTTCAAGAAAGCGTGCATGGCAATTACAAAGCCTGGACAGAAGTATTCACACAAGAAAACTGCTATCAAAAGTCTCAAAACTTTCTGAATGCAATTCTGGGAGAAGGATAGAAATGTCATACAGAATGATCTCTCATTTTAAAAATTGAACTCCTGATCACATTTTATATTGCAGATATCAATTAGCCCAAAATTTATAAAAAAAACCAATGAGAAACACATGATTTTAGTATGTTTCCATTATAGCTGGTACACTAGATTAACTCTTAATTTTGCCATGGAATACAGACACAGACAAGAAACTTCACAAATTCATGGGATCCATATGACAATTCTTCTATTGTGTGAAACATATATGAACTATGCAAGGGCCTTCAAACAAGAAAAAGGAGTAAAACCGGGATGCAATGTCAACCCAACCCTCTTTTATCTTATAAATCAACTATTTATCAGCTGTTTCTAAAATGGCTGTGAAGTCCAGGATTAACAGAATGTGACTCAGCAGCACAAAGCCTGTTATAGTGGTGATCTCACACACTCCCTTCAATAACACAGTCATGCAAAAGAATAAAAGGAAAGATTTTGCAAAATGTGAATGTATCTGGCAAGAGTGTATCTTGGTCCCTGTCTATTTTTCAAAAATATTCTCATGGAGGCTAGAAATTTGATCAGTATCAATCCCTCTAGGCTTGTTTGCTTCCTTCCTGATACTTAGGGATCCATGCTGAATTTTCCAAAAATCCTTGAATTCAGATCTGCAAAAAAAGCAATATGCTGTAATTTAAGACTTCATTACCTTTGCTATAATAATTTTGTCCCATTATCTAGTGGGAATAGTTTCAACATCTGGAATCTTTCTTTGATAATCAGGAATCTGTTAATTAGGATAAAATCTGATATCTACAGCAGCAGTTCAGCCAGCAAATGATAGGTTTACCACCATCCCCTCAAAAAAAACAAAAAACAAAACCCAGAACCCACTAAACCAATAACAGCTGCAGGAACAATCTAAGCCTCATCATAGAAAAATAATAATTCTTCCTTTGGTGCACCCTTTCAGGCTTAAAAAACAATCAAATGCTCCCTCTGCTGTGAAAAACTGGAAGAAAAGGCACCAAAGTTTAACCATTCTCTTTCAACAGCTTCTGGGTGAAAATGTGGTTTCCTGGCCTGCATGAGAAATTAGCTCATCAAAAAAAGTTTTGTTTTAATTATTGGAACCACAAAGGTCAATTGGAAGAGCTGTAGATGTATCATCCCAGATAAGATAAATGAGAGATGAAGAGACAACAGACAACAAAAATAGGAACTCAGCACACAGCATAATTTGCCCAAACCAAACACACACATTATAATGAACCTAGTTAGTGTGCAGTAAAGAATGTTGTTTCAGAATGTGGTCTACAGGAGTTGTATGCCTTACTCACCAGGAAATACTTCTGCTTCCCAAGTCGTTTTTGGAAGTCAGCCCCAAAGACAGCAATCTGCCCATCGTAGCGACTAGCACACTGTCAGAGACGGAGATGCCAAGCGTTAGAACAGGAACATTCCAGACCGGAGGCAAAATGAAACCAGCCCCATTTCTCAAGGGCATTCTCAGAAAGTCTAGTTGGCTACCTTTATGGAACTCAGCATCAGGGAAGAGAGAGAAATAAAAATGTTTCTGACAGCCACTAGTGGAAACCTTTCTGAACCGAGTCGTGATGGGTCAGACCTGAGTAGTTTGGGGTGGGTGGGTGAAAAAGGCAAACTACAGAATGTAACTCTACTCACTGGGGCACAGTTTGTCTCTGTCAGCTGCTCCCCTTCAGGCAGGCATTCATAGGCATCAAAGTACAGCCACTGCTCCAAAGGGGTGAACTTCCCCGAGACAGCCTGCAAGCAAAATAACATAGAAGCTTTGCTCAAGCGAAATATTATAATGAACATCGTGGAAGCTGGAATCCAACATATCTATATCTTAAGCTGTAAAGCAGGCCCAGTTTCAGTACATGATGTTTTTGCTTATTCCGTCTTGTTATTCAGAAAAAAAAAATCACATCTTGTTGGTGTTTGGTCTTCTACCCAACTGTTAAAGGCACAAAAGCCTATCAGGGAAGATTGGTACTTCTTCATCACTCTAGTCCAGGGGTAGGCAACCTTGGCTCTTTTATGACTCGTGGACTTCAACTCCCAGAATTCCTGAACCAGCCATGGTTGCACAAGACCAAGCCTTAAAAACAAATTCATACAAAGCCAAAATTGAGAAGACAGCAACAGATGGCAAATGCTGTCTCTGCAAAGAAGCTGAAGAAACAGTGAACACCTGGTTAGTTGCTGCAAGAAGATCACACAGACTGACTATAAACAACAGCATGACTAAGTAGCAACAATAGTGCACTGGAATATCCCCAAGAAATTGAAAAAAAATCTGGATAGTGGACATTGCAGTACTCGAAACAGCAGAATAAAAAAAAAAAACTTGGTGAAAAATCACAAAAACACCAAAGAAAACAAAGATAGAACCAACATGTCCCCAAAAATCTGGAGCACCATTTGAACATCAAGGGCATTGATAAAAATCACCATCAGTCAATTGCAAAAGGCAGTTTTCCTTGGAACATCTTACATCCTGTGAGGATATCTTTAACACCATCAAATAACCACATTTGCCTACCCCAGATCCTTAGGAAGGACTCAACAGGTGGATACAAATGCCAAAACCAGTCTAAATAACTGTCTGACTGTGCAACCAAACATAAGAATGTCATATTGTAAGTCATTGTCTACAAACTACAATGGCTACCTTCACATATCATACTAAATCAAATATCCCAAAGAAAAACCTAACCAAACCATGTTATGGCTCAGCATGAATCAAACTGGGAAATTCCAGGACTGAAGAACTTTAGGGCCAGGACTGTAGACACAGTAGAATGAAAGAAAGCCTAAAAGAAGAATGATAGCTGGAGGGAGCCAGTTATGTGTGAGAAGACTACAGTTCAGAGAGGAAATGTTACAGGAAAACCTAACTTGGCTGCACTAGATGTAAGTAATATTAGAGTTCTATCCAGCCTGTATTTCTTTTAGAAGCTCAAGCCAGCTTACATGGGGATTTATCTTCATTGTGATGACTGCAAAAAAAAAAACCCCAGAGGTTTGCTGAGAGAGGGTGACAAGCCCAAAACCAGCTTTTAAGTTTCCATGGTTTTAGTCCGGTAAATTAAATCTCAATAAAGGAAAGTATGGCATTGCTTCTCTTACCCACTCTTGCTCAAGACTATAATCGTTATATTGCAACACATTTTTGTCTGATGAACTCCTCAGAATCCTGATCTTTACACTCTCTTATACATTTCTTCTATTTTAAGTTAACATTTGGCCATTGTAGGAGTGTCTTACAATGGCTACATCCTTAGGTTTATCCATCGTTTGACATATCTAGAGAATCAGCTAGAAAAATCCCAAGTAATTTCCCCTAAGGTGCTCTACATATCTCGTGATTAGTAATACATTTGGCCAGACTTTAGCTATTTAGTTACCAATATATTTTGACTTTCAGTAGTCAGTGTGTGTCAGAGCTCTGAGTAAGGGCTTCAACAAGTCTCTTATCAATTCATAAAAGATAAAAGATAAAATCTTAGGTTGTTTCTTGATGAAGTGTCTTTTGTGCAATCGGTCTGCCTCCTTTATGGAATTTTACCTGGGTTGTAATGGTTGAGACACCATCTCCTATTTCTTAGCTTCCCTGTTTTTTTCCAAAAGCTCTTTACAGGTTTTGCTTATCACAAAAAGATATTAAAAAGATAAACTGCTCTGTGCCATTTATCTGGTAGAATCAGAAGCTGCCTCATAATCATTTGCAAAAGGGCTTACAGAGGTAAGGTTTGAATCACAGGTTTCCTCAGTGTATCCTATAATTACATTTACACTGACCAAATTGTGCTTCTCAGAAAGTACAGTAGGAAGCATGCAGTAAGACAAAGTGCCAAGAGGAGGACATTTAGCTTTACAAGTAGTCCTCCATTTGCAACCACAAGTGGGCCTGGAATCTTGGTTTTTGAACAAAGTGGTTATTAAGCAAGATGCCACATGACCGCTTTGCTCAATAATCACAATCCTGGTTCTCCCAGTTGTGGTTGTTAAGTGAAGCGCGAGGGAGAGAACCCAGACCTCCAGGGTACGGTGCAGCCATCACACCCAGGAGAGCCAGATCCTGTCCCTCACCACTGAGGAGAACAATTGTGAGAAGGATGGCGTTTGCTAGGTGCTTTCACCAGACTTGAGGTCCAGTCCTCCAGCGCCCATGAGGGTTTCCTTCCCTGCATGAAGGGGAGGTGAAGTCTGTCAGAGTGCCGGAAGACTGGACCTCAAATCCTCTTCACTTGTGACTTTCCCTGCTTGTTTCCTCAATGACTTTCTGAGGAAGCTGGCAGTGAAGATTGCAAATGGCCACCACAAGATCACAGGGCACTTGGCAACCAGTTTTAAATGTGGACAGGTTGCCAAGAGCCAGAAATGCGGTGACCTGCAACATTTTACAACAGCCATCGTGACTGCAAACCAGTTTTGGTCACCGCGATGTAAAAAAGATGTTGAGACTCTAGAAAGAGTACAGAGAAGAGCAACAAAGATGATTAGGGGACTGGAAGCTAAAGCATATAAGGAACGGTTGCTGGAATTGGGTATGTCTAGTTTAACAGAGAGAAGGACAAGGGGGGACATGATAGCAGTGTTCCAATATCTCAGGGGCTGCCATAAAGAAAAGGGAGTCAAGCTATTCTCCAAAGCGCCTGAAGGCAGGACAAGAAGCAATGGATGGAAACTAATCAAGGAGAGAAGCAACCTAGAACTAAGGAGAAACTTCCTGACAGTTAGAACAATTAACCAGTGGAACAACCTGCCTCCAGAAGCAGTGAATGCTCCAACACTGGAAGTTTTTAAGAAGAGACTGGACAGCCATTTGTCCGAAATGGTATAGGGTTTCCTGCCTGAGCAGGAGGTTGGACTAGATGACTTCCAAGGTCCCTTCCAACTTTACTACTACTACTACTACTACTACTACTACTACTACTACTGAGCAACCAGTCTTGAGCTGAGGACTCCCTGTATGCAAAAATGGATACATGATAAAGCCTTTATTATATTTATTCTCTCTTCCTCACAAAGTATGAAACCAGCCTTATGGCCAATTGAAAATGCACCACTCACACCTAGGAGAGAGTGTACAGTGAAGACCTTTAGGCACAGGATAACGGTAAAGGTAAAGGTTTCCCCTGTCTAGTCGTGTCCGACTCTAAGGAGCGATGCTCACCTCCCTTTCTTAGCCAAGGGAGGCAGCATTGTCTGGAGACACATCCATGGCGATATGGCTGGCATGACTGTATGCCGAGGAGCAAATGGGGCCTAAATAGAAGAGGGTCATGTTTCTTATTACTCTTCAAAAAACACCTCTGTATTAGGAATCTTGTCCAGTGACAAAAAAGTTGCTCATCTATCATGTGGCTGTAATCCAGGGGTCTTCAAACTTGGCCCTTTTATGACTTGTGGACTTCAACGTGCCTGGCTGAGGAATTCTGGGAGTTGAAGTCCACAAGTCATAAAAGGACCAAGTTTGAAGACCCCTGCTGTAATCTTCTTGACCTGGATTTAGGGGACAGTATAGGAAGTATCAATTGTGAATACGTGCAGATGGCCCTGCTATCTCTGGCCACTTGCAGAACCATGAATGCAAGGTCATAAAAGGACAGCAAAGGAAACATCCAATATCCTAACCCACCCGGGAACATATGGTGTCTTAGGGAAACACCTAAAACACCCAAACAATGTAATTATAAATGAGCTGTATACAGTATGATGCAAATCAGCATATATTTTTTTTCTTGAGATGCATTTCCTCTTTGGGTTGATGTTTAAGTGGCCACCCTTCTAAACAGCGGTCTGTGGAGGAAGAGTTTCTCCTCTCTTCTCTGGCCTCCTTCTGGTGCAACTGAGAGAAACAGATCAGCTAAAAGAGAGCTCAGCTTCCTATCATTCCTTAAAAATGGTTTAAAAGCATAAACTGCCATCTGGTGGACATTTTATAAATTATGAACAAAACATACTTTCATCTGGTTGGATTTTATAACATTTTATAAGAAGGGACCTTGGAGGTCTTCTAGTCCACCCTTCTGCCCAAGCAGGAGACCCTATACCACTCTGGACAAATGGCTGCCCAATCCCTTCTTAAAAACCTCCACTGAAGAAGCACCCACAACTTCTGGAGGCAAGTAGTTCCACTAATTTGAAATCCATTCCACATATTGTAATCCATTCCAATTAGGACAGAAAATTGTCCAATTAGGACAATTAGATGGACAATACTGGAGTTAAAGCAAAAACCATGCCAGTGTGAGTAGTAAAAATTAACATTAAATATTCTTTAATTGTCATCTCTCTTAACAATAGCTTGGACAATCTATGAGTAGTATACATCTTCCTTAGTTGAGTTCTCAGATTAGAAAAACCCAGCTTTTATCTAAAACCATGCCCTCAGGCTACACAAGAGGTCCCCAACCCCCAGTGTATGGACTGGTACTAGTTCATGGCCCATTGGAAACCGGGCCGCAAAAGTGGCAGGCGGGCATACAAAACTCCATTTGCGCATGTGAAACCATCCCCTCCCCCTCACTACCGCCGTCCAGCTCCCCTGCCGCTGTTGGTCCGCAGAGCTGGAAAGGTTGGGGACCGCTGCGCTAGAGGATCTGTGAGTCCACCATTCCAGATGAGCAAGAAGGAAGAACAAAATAAAGACACACCACAAGCTGGTCACGAAAGGAATATCATGTTGTCTGGCTCCACAATTATGGCTAAATATTGTGGCAGAAACACCTTGAAAATTAAAAGATGTCCAGACTGCAAGAGGCCAAACTTTCTTAATCATGCCTCGATTAAAAAAAAATAATGGACATCCTTCACTGGCAAGCCCAGTACAAAGCCAGTTAATGGCAGTCAGAAAGCTGAATTTCAGTACTAGGACCAAAGCCAGTAGGGCAGCTGCAATTCTCAATGGGAAGCCCAAGACAACTCGTTCAGGTACAGCTACAAAAATGATTAGCAAAGCCATCACAATGGATGGAAAACTTCTCATGCAGCTTCAAAACTATTTCTTTTAGTTTCCTATAAAAATTCATAGTTATTCCTAATATTGTATACTGCTCTCATGCATTCAAAGCACTTTGTGTATTTTATTAATTAATCCTTTCAAGAATCTTGTAAGTTAAGTCAATATTATGTTTCTGTACTTTCTTTTGCAGATGAGGAATACTAAGGTTGAAAAAGACTGGCTTACCTAGGGCAGATATTAAAAAGAGGTGAAACCTTGAGACTTCCTGATTTATAGCTTTTTAAAACTACTACTTTATATTATATATTGCTAGCATGATTATTAATTATTGTGGGTATAACCTACATCAGTGATGGCGAACCTTTTAGAGGCCGAGTGCCCAAACTGCACCCCAAAACCCACTTATGCATCATTGAGTGCCGGGTGGGTGTGGCCCATTGGCTGGGTGTGGCCAATTGGCTGGGCGTGGCCAATTGGCTGGGCGCGGCTGCGGTGGTAACGGCAGACTGAGTGAGACTAAAAAGTTCAATCAATCAATTTCAACTTTGAAAGATCTATTTTTCCCGCGAGAAGTTGAAATTGACTGAACCTTTTTTTTTTTTTGCACATGGCGGCGTTTCTAAAGCGAAAAGATTTTATAAAACCCAGCTGAAGGCCTAGGACTGGGGCGACAGCGCGCGTGCCCACAGAGAGGGCTCTGAGTGCCGCCTCTGGCACCCGTGCCATAGGTTCGCCACCACTGACCTACAATGAACTTCTCCAGGAGCTCCTCTCATTTTAACCTTGCAATCATTTTATGATGTTTACTATGCTGAGAGAAACTGAATTTATCACTCAGTGAGGACTTGAACCTGGATTTACCAAATCCAGATGTTCAATTACTGGACCACTGGCTTTTTATGCAAAGGCACGTCTTAGCAGAATTTCCTTAACGCTTAAGACAATGTCCTTAATAATTAAAGGTTTGGGCACAACAATGTTTCCTATTATTATGTAATAAAAATTCAGTTTAGTGTAACATGATTAATATCACACACATAAAATGGAAATCCATCAGAAATATCTATGGGAAATGATTGCAGATAGTATGTGGACTACAATTCCTATAGTAGATAGAAGTTTTTGGAACTACAGGTAGTCTCTGCCTTGTGACAGTTCACTTAATGATGGTCCAGAAAGTGTTTACTTCCATGCATGGAGGGGATATGAACTCCTTCAGCAGACAGCTCTTTCAGCCAGCCCCCCGAGACGAGGAGGAGCAGAAAGCCAAGCAGAGAGTAGAGAGTCAGTGCAGAAAGGTAAGAAGCATGGGATGCCTCAGGCAGGTGCTAAGGGATTGCTAAGTGTTAAAGTCATGTGACACAACACTTTATGACCGTGTTGCTTAGCAGTGGAGATTTCAGTCCCAATTACCGCCATTAACCAAGGACTGCCGCTATGCCATGCTGCACACACACTTTATCTTAGCCAAAAGGCTAAGGAAAGGAAAGCATGGAAAAGTTCATCAGGGATAAGAGTTACTGAAGAGGAGGGGGTAACACAGGTCAGATTTACCCTACTCTTTAAGTCTTGTTCTAGTCTTGAGAATGAGAGTAAATCCTTGGTTCAATAGGTATTCATCTTGAATTGACATTCTTCCTCCCCCCCACCCATTAATTGGCTAAACAGAAGATAATTACAGTGAGTATGGACTTTAAAATGTTGGTATTTCTCTCACAAGTGAACATATATTCCAAAATGTTCACTTTCTATCATACCACAAATCCTTTTCTTTTTCCCATTTGCTTTCATTTTTGTTATTTCCCTTTCCTATTTGTTTTCATTTTCTTTTTAAAACCATATTTTAGTTGATGCTTAATTACTATTTGTCTCTTTAATATTTTTTTTAAAACCAATCAAATCAGCCAATCAACTTCTGCCTGCTGTTAAAGTTCTGCCACTCACCTTTAGGACTTCTTGGGCAGCAAGGCCTCCAATAAGGCTATTCATAGGGCTCAGATCCCCCATACATCCATATGCAAACGTCCGTATCAGATTCTCTTGTTCCTGATCCATAGCATCCATAGCTGGGGTCCTCACCAGCTCTATTAACATATCTGCATCTGCCTGCCAAATAATAATGACTGAGGTTGAAGAATAGATTTGGCTGGGGAAGGGAAAGGAAAGGGAAGGGAAGGGAAAGAGAAAGGGAAAAAAGTAAATAGCTGGATAGGTAGGTAGGCCAGACTTACCCGATTCTGAGGCCTAGGAAGTCGACCAATTTTTTTCTGGAATGTGTGAAGTGCCTGGAAGGCTGCATGAAGAGTACGATAACGAAACAATTTATTTCTATCTTGGGTGTTGATCTTGGGATTATCCATGCAGGCTCGCAGAGATTCCTAGGAATATAGAGAAATAAGCAAAAGGGAAAAGTTGTATCTAATAACACGTCCTTCCTCTCAGATATCATGTCTCAAGAAGTTCTCTTGCCAAAAGAATATGTAAAGCACACTTAGCCCAGTAACATCTGCCCCAGCAAGTCTCAGATTTTTGAATTTTAAATCCAACATCACAGTAACAAAGAACTGCAGACAGAGACAAAAAGCCCTTTTTTTTAACAAGAAATTATATAGAAGCAAATTATTATTATTATTATTATTATTATTATTATTATTATTAATTGCATTTATATCCCGCCCTTCTCCTTTCGGACTCAGGGCGGCTGACAAATGATAAAAAGCTAACATACACAATATTACACCCAGTTAAAATTCAATTAAAACAAAATATTTGAGAATGTCCAATTAAAAGTAATTAAAACCCCTATAAAATCCCCTA